CTAAACTGAATTTTTAAAGTTTAAACAGGATGCTGCGTACATGGTATTCTTTGAAATTTATTGTTGTTATGTTAATTTATTAAAGCGAGGTGTGTGTAGTTCGTAGATTCGTTCGTTGCCTAGATTGTGCCATTCGTAGATTTTTAACTTAAAACATATCGCTGTGTACATGGATTCTTGTCAAATATTTTTGGTTAGAAACTTTACGATTTTGCTATTTAAATTTTTTGTTTTTGTTTCGGATTTTTAGCTTAAATTGTGTGTTCCAAACGCAGTTTTTGCATGTGCAAAAAACGCGTTTTTGGAGACATTTTAGGCATAAAGTTAGAAATGTAGACAAAAAAATTTAGATAGTAATATGGCAGCGTGGCGTTTATCGCCAAAATTGTTTGGCGACTTCAGGGCGCATATCAGAGTAGTTCCATAATTTAGTACCAGGATGTACTACATGCAAGATGTATTAGACACTGTAAGAACACTGTAAGAGGCAAGCTAGGAAAGCGGGGGAAAATGCCTTATATACTCCACCTTTTAAAAGGCGACTGGGATTTTTAGGGGACCCCGATCGCCAAATTCTGGGTGAGGAGAATCATCATCCAACACCCTTTTAGTTGAGGCGCCACTGTAGGTATTTTTTGGAAGACGCAAGACGAAAAATGAGCAATCACCTTCGACGAGAATCGAACCATGGAGTTCTGAAATACCGGTCCAGCGTGCTGACCACTACACCACGGAGGCACGCTAGGAAGGCGGGGAAAAATACCTTATATAACCCCCCTTTTAAAGGGCGACTGGGGTTTCTAGAGGACCGCAATCACCAAATCCTGGGTGAGGAGAATCATCATCCAACACCCTTTTAGTTCGGGCGCCACTGTAGAGACATTAGGTAATTTTTGGAAGCAGGCAAGATGAAAAATGAGCAATCGCCTACGCCGAGAATCGAACCACGGACCTCTGGAATACCGGCCCAGCATGCAGAACCACTACACCACGAAGGCACGCTAGGAAGGCGGGGAAAATACCTTATATACTCCCCCTTTTAAAGGACGACTGGGGTTTTTAGAGGACCCCATTCACCAAATCCTGGGTGAGGAGAATCATCATCCAACACCCTTTTAGTTCGGGCGCCACTGTAGAGACATTAGGTATTTTTTGGAAGCAGGCAAGATGAAAAATGAGCAATCGCCTACGCCGAGAATCGAACCACGGACTTCTGGAATACCAGCCCACCATGCAGAATCACTACACCACGAAGGCACGCTAGGAAGGCGGGAGAAATACCTTATAAAGCAAAAGTCATAAATGCAGCCATGGCGGTACTTTACATCTGCAACAAGTTTCGCTCTTTAGAAATCTAGGAGTTTTCATAATGTTTAGCCGTTCATTAAAAATAAGGATATTCAACGGTATAACTAAAAGACGAAAAATAAGAGCTTAAGAAAAAAAAAAAAATAAGAGTAATTTTGGGTCATTGTTACAATTCCACTGCTGAACTGGAAAGGAATCCTTTTTCAAGCCTTCCGTGATGTTTGTGACTTGAGAATGTTTTAGCGGCTATTGAAGAGGCGTTGTCGATTTTTTACCAACCTGAATGATTATCGTCATCTTCAATACAGTTAACGGCATTCGCAAGTAGGTCAAAATGGTGTACGCTTGACAACTTAACAGTATACAAGTTCTTCAAATGGCTTACTGAAGATAAATTTGCCAGCGGCGAAAATGGCGGGAAATTAATTCTTAGCCAAATCTGATGTTATCGCTTACATTCCAGTGAGATTCCATAAACTTCTTACTTATTTTAGTTCCCTAAAAAAAAAATTGTCCTAATCTCTTAATTCTTTTCCGTTTTCTTTAATTTATTTTAAACACCTGAATAATTAAAAGAGTATAAATTAATACTTTTAATTTTAATTAGCTAGGTAGGGAAAAGAGTGACTCGTGTAATCCGAGTTCAGGACACAAACTCATAACGCTTAAAAGGGTAAAAATTCTCTGAAATCTTAAAATGAATCATTTTTTTTAACTTTCCAAACAAAATTAAATTTTGCTTTAACTTCTTTCATAATTAATTACACAATTTTCATTCGAGAACTTCCAATTCTGGTCATCGTGAAACTAATTATGAATTTTGCCTTTTTCTAAACTTTCAGTTTGCATAGACGTATAGAAAAGTGCTCTGTTACATTTTATTTATAAATGTAACACAATTTTTCAGTTTTCGTTTATTCCTTTTTATAAGTAATGATTTCACTTGTAGAGACATTAAGTATTTTGACAGCATGCAAGATGAAAAATATGCAACGCCTTCGCCGGGAATCGAACCGAGGACCTCTCAATTACGCGCTGAGCGTGCAGACCACTACACCACGAAGCCTCGCTAAGAAGGTGGGAGAAAATACCTTACATACTCTTTTAAAGGGCAACTGGGAATTAGGGGACCCAATCGCCAAATCCTGTTGGTGACGAATTATTGCCCGCCATCCTTTCTAGTTCGGGCGCCAGTGTAGATTTCTTTGGGTTCTTTTTATGCAAGAGATGTGAAAAATGAGCAGTGCCCTCGTCGGGAATCGAACCTGGACCTCTCGAATACGCGCCGAGTATGTTGCCATTATACCACGAAGGCATGCTGGAAGCAGAGGAAAAATACCTTATAGGCATAATACTTCATTGTCGCAAATTTCCGAACCTATAATAAGATGATTATTATCATCGATATTTTATTTCCTTCTTACATATTCTCATTCGGAAGAAACTACGTTATGTCAGTTAAGTTAATTATAAAACCCAAACTAAGGTTTTAATTTTACTCATTTTCAAACTATTTCAGTTCTGCCAAGTATATAAAACCCCGTATTTACACTGAGAGAAACGTAAGTAAGTTTCGTTATTATCGGTAATAATAATTCTTATCCATAAGAAATTATTTAAATATTCTGCGTAAATTAAATCTTTAAAAAAAAAACAGAGGGAGTTCATTTTGTTTATTGAAGTAAGAATAAGCTTCTAACTAATATTAGTAGAAAAAGGCCGAAGAAGAAATATCCTTCCTTTATAAGCCTACCAGCGGCAGAGCGGTAAAATTGCTGAACACTGGTAGTTTGACCTGGTTCCATTTTAGTTGAACGGGCTGGCTGCATGACGTTTTCGTGGCTTTCCCCATATGTAACGTGTATACGAGCGAGTTTTCCATTAAATGTCCTCCAGAAATGCCTCCCTATTCTTAGGCAGATAGGCTTAGTGTCCTTTGCCGTAATCTGGTAAGCAAACCATCCAGATGAATGGTGTTTTCGTGGTTTTCTTCCTGTGCTGTGTATTGTGAATATGAGTCAGTTTCCCTTAGAAAGTCCTCCATGAAGGCATCTCTTGCGACATGATACCCCTTGTGTGTTTTGCCATGATTAAATAAACCAAAGCTTTCTTTACAAGAAAGCAGCTACTGATTACGGATACAAACACGAGACTGCGTCATCATGCTGCATAAATACTGAAATGCATACAACGTTTCTTAATTACGGCAAAGCCCTTTCCATCTGTCTGAGGAAGGATGCCTTCGTGAGGAAAATTTAAAGAAAACCTTTCCTCATATTTATGCTATGCATAATGAATGAAACCAAGCCAACTCTTTCGCCTAAAATAAAAGCAAGGATCCCATCAGCGCCAATTTTCAGCAGTTTTTGCTGTCTGGCAGCTGAAACAGGGATAATTTGCATTCCATAAAACGGTCTGGGAGATTATCAGTCTGCAAGTATAAACAATTTATCAGGCCCCAAAAGCTTATGAGCAAACTACTTCGATTTGCTGTAAATAGTTGAATAGTTAACTAATCTCTACATATAATAAAAGAAAGAGTCTGTGTCTTTCGTTCGTGTTGCGCGTAAGCTAATAGACCCAGGGCTACGAAATTTCGCATATAGCTGCATCTAGACGAGAGCCAATACATCTCGAAGCGATTTTTTTCAATATTCGAATCAGATTTTTTTAAATTTTATCTTTTCGATTTTATCGCATCATTTTGAATAGTTTCATTCTTTTAGAAATGTGGTTTTGGCAACCGTTATTCATTCAATTGTATACTGGACTGCTGACTGTTGAAAAACAGCACTGTTGCCACTTGTAAAAATGAGGGGTGATGATTCTGTGGAGTTTTTAAATTTAATGTTTCACCTGGATATTGGACGTTTGTCGTCGAAGAAAGTTGGTTAATTTATTTATTAGGATAATTAATATTTGTATTAAGGAATATTGCTTATTTCATTGTAATTTTGTTATATGCAATACATTTTTAGTCCAAAGGGGCTTTGTCCCTGAAGGACTATTGTTTTCGTTTTGCGATTTTGCGTTGGTTCACTATAAATGTCCGTTTCACTTCTGAAATTGTTGCCACCCAATGTTAGAGTCCTGCATTATATTTGAAGAAATTAAATAACGAAAAATCTGCATAAATGTATGTATAATTCTCGTTCTGTGATAAAACAAAGGTACATAGAGCCATCGAATTTTGAATGACGTAATCCTACTGCGAATATGAGCATGTGGAAGCCCAAATTTGGAATTTGTTTCATTATCGATTTCATATTTTGTAAAATTTTAACGAATTTTTGATTACCAAACTCAACCTTTCAAAGCGAAGGATTGCAAAACTGTACGAAGGAAAAAAAAAAAAAAAAAAAAATTTATTTCCAGCGCGCGAGACTCTGTATCGGTAATTCTAAAGATATGCTCAATTTAAAACTATTTTGCGATATCTCTCTTGAACTGAATTTTATGGTTTAAGTGCGAAGAACGTGATATTTAATAAATAAAGGTAACAGACAAAATGTTAAAAAAAGTCCCTTAAAATCTGAAACCCTTTTTATTTTATTTACTTATTTTATTTTATTTTATTTTATTTTTAATTTTTATTATTTATTTATTTATTTATTTTATTTTATTTTTATTTTTTTATTATTTATTTATTTATTTTGGATGAAGTTGTTTTGCAGAGTAAAATTCTTCGCAGTTTTAAATTTAACGTTTGGTGTTTCCTTCAGACATTTTTTCTCGTACATTTATAAGCCAGACAAATAATTGCACCCTAATTGTAGTAAGTAAACATTTAAATTTTATATGGCGATGATTGAAGCATTCTTTTTAAACCACAATTAGGAAATGTCAGTGAACGAAAATTATTTTTCAAGGCTTTGGGAGCAGAAACTTCATTTGGGATGTACCGAAAAGTAGTGCCGAAAACCTGTTCTTGGTGATTGCATAATTTTATCAAAAAATATTCCAAATATTTATAGTCCTTTACGTGACTCTTCCTTGTCGCCTATCGGTCCTCGAAAACGAGTTCCAGAAAAATAAAAAAAAAAAAAAACTGTTGCCACTCGGCTATGATAATCTTATTTCACCTACATATTACTGTGGCTTGGTTGGAAGTAGCGCCACACCGGCTTTATCTTAACAGAAATATAGTTAGTTCCTTAGACACTTCATTTCACTCTGCGGATCTCTCAGTAACGGCGCTGCACCGTTATTCCAACAAGGTCACCTACTGCTGTCCGGATGGACGTCTTCCACCTCTTGCAAATAAACCTGTTCTTCTTCTTATGCAGTAAGTAGCCCCATTACTCTTGCTGGAAGTGGGTTTCGTGCCACTTTCTTTCCATTGCACCGCGTTTCCTTCTTCAGAAAGCCTGGTTAGACACCTTTCCCTTTCAGGAAGACAAGGACAAAGCCCGCATTATTCAAGGATGCGCATCGCGATAGTCAGTACATAATTCCGTGGAAGTCAGACACCGCTTTATAATCCTGTTGATGTAGAATTTAAAATATTTTTCTTTTGCAAATTTTAATGACTGATACGGACTGAACAAGTATTACATCGTTAGGCTTCTGCTGAGTTTCTTCAACCTGAGATCTGTCTGTATCTCTTCAAGAAAATAGGAAAGTTAATTTTGATTTAGAAAAAACTTATTTCTATCGTATTGTTGTATGAAATACTGCAAGGGATTCCATTTAATGCTCTAACATACAAACCAATGGAGAATGCTAGAAAAATGTCGTATGGATTTGATACCGTTTTATAGCAAAGGGTCCATTCTGATGTAAGAAAACAGCTTTTTCTTCGGTCTGGTACAATACAATATTTCTTTCCGCCATGTTTTGCCCACATTAGCTGCCTTTTCTTGAACTAACAAAAGTGAACTTAATTGTGAGTATTTCATTGATTTCTGGGAGAGTTTTACTGACAATTGCTTTAACTGTTATTGCATTTCTTGCAGCTGTATTCATATATTATTAGTCCAGAGGGGATTTGTCCCTGAATGACTATTGCGTTTTGCGATTTTGCATCTATTCACTACAAACGACGAATCACTTTTCAAACTGTTGCCACAAAGTATTATCGCCCTGTGTTATATTTAAAGAAATTAAATAATGAAATATCCGCATAAATGTATGTATATTTCTCGCCATTGTGATAAAACAACGGTACCTAGAGTCATCGAATTTTGAATGACGTAATCCTTCTACGAATATGAGAATGTGGAAGATCAAATTTGACATTTGTTTTATTATCGATTTCCTATTTTCTAAAACTTTAACGAATTTTTGATTAACAAACTTGAGGATTTCAAAGTGAGCCATGTCAACTTTGTACAGAAAAAACACTTTTATCTTCAGCGCGTGATTCTCTGTATCGGAAATTATAAAGATAAGCTCATTTTAAAACTATTTTGCGATATTGCTGTTTTACTGAATTTTATGGTTTAAGTCCGAAGAACGTGATATTTGATAAATAAATGTAACACACAAAATGTTAAATAAATGCCCTTTGGACGTAATTAAAATCTGAAACGTTTCAGTTTTTTTTCTTTTTTTTTTTTTTTTTTTTAATCTGCTTTCACTGACCCAAAAAAAAAAAAAAAATTTAAAAAAATAAAAAAAATTACAAGAATTTCAAAACGGCTAGGAAATAAAAGAATATTTAAGGTATGCTTACTGTACACTGGAAAAATGTTTAGTGCACTGAAACTGATAAGATGGATTTTAATAGTAGTATATTAAACGCGTGATAAACGTTGTAAATAGTCTTTATTTGAACAATAAATTTAAAGCTACTTAAAATATTGGCATGGGAAACCAAAATTCCAGTAAAACTGTTAATAATATAACTTTGATTCCCACAAGAAACATGTTTTTTTATTTTAAACTTAGAAATTTCGAATTTTAGATGTCATTATTTGTTTTATAATATTAAACACAATTACTGTTACACATTATACTTTGGCTAGAATTAGAACTAATGCAAGATTCCATTCTAGGGGAATTACAAAGTGATAAGATAAGCATTTCGCAGGAAATTTGACAAGGGTTAGAATACTCTATAGGACGGAAGGTATATTCGTTAACACTAGAGTAGCAAACTCCAAACGTTTTTGATAGCGTAAACCTAAGATGAAAATAATTATAAAATGTACTTCATATCATATAAAATTTTTAAAAATCTTAAATGTTTCAGATTTTAAATTATGTCCAAAGGGCTTTTTTTTTTAACATTTTGTGTGTTACATTTATTTATTAAATATCATATTCTTCGGCACTTTAATTAACCATAAACTTCAATTCAACAGCAATATTGCAAATAATTTTAAAATGAGCCTATATCCTTAGAATTTCCCGATACAGAGGCACAGCGGGCTGGAGATTAATAAAAATGTTTTTTCTGTACAACGTCGCCATGGCTCGCTTTGAAATCGCTCGAGTGTTGTTAATCAAATATTTCGTTAAATTTTTAGAAAATATGGAAATCGATAATAAAACAAATTCCATATTCCAAATTCGGTCTTCCACATACCCATATTCGTAGGAGGATTACTTCATTCAAAATTCGATGGCTCTATGTACCGTTGTTTTATCACAATGCAAGAAATATACATACAGATGCAGTTTTTTTCATTATTTAATTTCTTCAAATATAATGCAGGACTCTAACATTCGGTGGTAACAGTTTGAAAAGTGATTCGCATTTTATAGCGATTCAATGCAAAATCGCAAAACGAAAACGCTAGTCCTTCAGGGACAAAGCCCCTTTGGACTAATAATATAATATTCAAAAATCAAATTTTTCGTTATTTTTTAATTTAAAAGAAATCAATTTAAATTAAATTAAAAATTTACGTTTAATCAGTTTAAATTAAATTACAAATTTACGTTTTGAATTAGATTTAATGCGGGCCATTTAATGATTGGATTTGTGAATAATATCGCAAAAATCTGGTTTTATGCCATCTGTTAATACAATTAGAAGATCTGGTTTAACTCTAAAATTTATTTCTGTATTTGGTTTTAATTGTTGTCACTGCAGAAAACTCTATTTCATACCGATATCTAACCCCCAATGCATTCGTGATTACAGAATCTGGAAATTCGGTTTTCAACCATATCCACCAATTAGGCAGACATTTTGTATTTAAAATCCGACTGCGAATTTTTTCCTCTCGCATCAATTAACTGTTTTTGATTTGCAGTCAAAAGATGATCTATTTTTACATTTTCAGCAACTGTATTCATGGCCCATTAAGCAGATAGCACTCATGTATTTTGTCATATTCCGGTAACCATTAATTAAACTGCGTATTATAGAAATTCGTACAATGAACCAAAATTTAGTATATTTTGGTGAGAAAGTTTTAAAAGTTATGTGGAGAAAAGAAAAAGTTTGTTTGTAATATTATTATTTTTAACACCACTATTAGACATATATCTCTAACATAGTTATCTCTAACATATATCAGTGTTCGTTAGCAAGAAGAAATTGTATTTAAAAAAAGCGTTAATTGATTTCAAAGTCGTAACTACATAACTTAACAAGAACTGCGCAAACGCCGAAAGAATAAGCAATAGAATATCATAATAAAAATTTTTAAAAATTTGAAAATTTTCAGCTTTTGCATTACGATCAAAAAGAGCGGGTTTTCTTTTCTTTCTTTTTTCATTTACATATACACATACATGTTTCGAGAGCATTCGCGCTACTGCTCCTTTAGGTTAAAAATATTTAGAAAACAGCATATCTTGAGAATTTCCGATAGACTCGCGCGCTGGAGATAATTTCGCCCCCTGTACAGTGTTGCCATTGCTTGCTTTGAAATCATCGAGTTTCTTAATCAAAAAATTAGTTAAAGTTTTACAGAATATGATAATAAAACAAATTCCAAACGCAGGCTTCCAGGTTCTCATATTCGGTTCAAGGACTAAGTTATTCAAAATTGGATGGCTCTAGTGTCGTTGTTTTCTTGCAATGCGAGAAACATACAAACATTTATGTAGATTCTTCATTATTTATTTTCTTTTAATATAATAGAGGATGATAATATTTGGTGGCAGCAATTTGAAGAATGACACAGCTTTTTATAGTGATTCGACGCAAAATCCCGTTTCGTTATCTATTATTGTATTGACTTCAAAAAACGGAAGATATACACTCATGTCCAAAATTATCTTTACATACCCAAAAATGATGATATTCAATGAAATATTGAATCAATGTGATCCGTATTTGCAAGGAATGTGTAAAAACCAAGCCTAATTAGCATTATCCAATCAAGTAATCAAACGGTTTGTGATATGCAAATCTAGGCGTTACGTCATCCAAGGGTGAATCAAGCGCTTTGCGCAAACTGAATATTTGAGTGAATTTCTGCAATATAGCGTTTGATTTCAGTGTGTAGGGACTCAAAGCGGTTTGTTATGGCTTTGCAGTATCATTTGGAAGAATCTGTAAAGTGGCGAATTATCGGCCGTTTAGAAGCAGGGCAGTCAATCATGGAAACAGCCACATGTCTGAATATTTCAAGACAGACAGTCTCTAAGCTATGGAAACAGTTTCAAAATGATGGAAGTGTTGTAAGGAGGCCTGGACAAGGTCGGAAACGAATGATAACTGCTTCTGAAGATCGGTATCTGGCAAACTGCCCGTCGTAACAGAAAGGCTATGCTCGCCAGTTAAATTCAGAGCTTGCAGCCGCCACTGGAACTGTTGCATCACGGCAAACATATACAGAAGGCTTATTAATGAAAAGGCCTTTATGCCAGAAAGCCAAGGGTATGTGTTTACTGTCTCACAGAAAAAGAGGGATCGCTTAATTGGTGTAAAGAACATCAGAACTGGACTGAACATCAATGGTCCATGTTTCTCTTACTGATGAGTCGCGGTTTAGTTTAACTGGTGTGATTCTAAACGTGTTTACATCTGGAGGGAGTCAGAACACGAAATGATCCTCGAACGTTGTGGGAACGTGACCGTTTCGGTAGTGGAGGTGGATGGTATGGGGTGTGAATAATGATCGATGGACGTACGCCCTATACGTGTTCAGCAGCGGATCTGTGACAGGCCCAGATATATCGAGATGAGGTCTTAGATCCTTATGTAAGACTTTTCAGGGTGATATGGACCTGACTTTTTATTTATGGATGATAATGCCCCGTCCACATCGAGCAAACCTCGTGATGAATTCCTTGAAAGTGAAGACATTAAGCGAATACTTGGCCACCAATCTCCTGACCTTAACCCGATAGAGAACTTATGAGATGACTTGGAAGAGCAATTGC